CCCGTATTTATTATTGCCATTATTACTATTATTATTACGCAGATACACAAAGCAGTTGCATAATCGAGCCAAGTCAATGTGATAAATGCGAAGACGTGCTATGGAGGGGGAAATTGGGATGAAGTGGTATAGATCTTAACGAGAAATTACATCTTCTTTCATAATCCCTTCCTTCTTTTACTTTTTCTCCGCACCTTACACACAGACACTTCCCTCCTTCCCCGCCCTATCTTCACTCCCTCCCCTCCCATTCTCTTTTTACCTTCATCCCACTCTATCTCTTCATCACCGATTCACATCCATCCCAACGGGGCTCTCTTCGACTTCGTCCAATCATTTCGTCCGTTCATTGGTGTCTTAAAATGCAACGCGTTTGTCGGCCCGGAAATCGGCGTTACCAACACGAAAGAGATATTCGAAGCTTCCTAAGAATAAGAATGACGTAACAAACTCATTTTACTTTGGTGTCGAGTAAACGTAAGCCTTCTTCTCTTATTGTTCCTTCACGTTCGACTCGTTAACCACTACTCTTGTTTATATATTGAATATAAATCATTTATCGGAACTTATATGAACGTATCGAAGAAAAAGAAAAAAAAGAAAAGAAACTATAAAGGCAAGGAAGGAAAAAAAACAAAAGCAAAGAAAAAAAAAAAAAGAAACAAGGTAGAGAGAAGCACCTTTTTCTTTTTTACAGTATCGCGCTAATGTAAGAAAAAAAAAGAGAAAAAAAAGAGAAAAAAAAAAGAGTGGAAAAAAAAGATCTCGTTTATCACTTTATTTCATTTATATCGTCTTCATAATCCCTATCGTATAGACGGTGGGCAAAAAATGAAAGAAAGACGAAAAAAAAGAGAGAGAGAGAGAGAGAGAGAGAGAGAGAGAGAGATAGAAATAGTAAGAAGAAGAAGATGAAGAGGAAAAAGGAGGAATAAAAAAAGAAAAAGAAAAAAGAAGAAATAGTAAGAAGAAGAAGATGAAGAGGAAAAAGGAGGAATAAAAAAAGAAAAAGAAAAAAGAATAGAAAAAAAGGTAAAGAAAATGAAAATATAAACTTTATTTAAGGCCATCATAAGTCGGAGTTGTACTACCAATCGTGTACGATCTAATTATGGCGTTCTCGTTTTACACGACTCAATTAACGGCGCGTGCGCGTTACCAATCGGTAACGACTCGCGCGAGTGCACGTTCGTTCGTTCGCTCGTTCGTTTATTCGTTCGTTCGTTCGTTCTTTCGTTCGTTCTTTCATTTATAAGCGAGTTAATTTACGCGAACGTCTATGTCGATATTTTGAATTTATTACTATAATTACAAGTGTTTATACGAACAGAGAAGAGAATAGATATAGAAACCACGTTAAAGAGAGTGTGTGGATTACGTTCGATGTGCGTGCGCCTTAAGTTTTTTGTCGCCTTAATTTCATCTATTTAAGAAAATTAGTCATCGATGATAGCTACGAAGTAGTAGCCTTCACGCGTTTTACTTATACGCGATTATTGTCGTTATTATTGTTATTTTTCTTAGTGTTTTTGTTATTGTTATTGTTATTGTTGTTCTCGTTAAATCGATGTAATTAAATTTTCAATAAACGTTACGAGGAAACTAAGATAACGAATGTCGTGCGAAAACAAGACCTTTCGTTGTAGATTTTCTTACATTATAAGATAAAAATAATGGTTTTATCTTTTTAATTAAATCCCCTATGAAAATTAATGCAAATCACGCGATAATGGGTTACGTAGAAGTTATATCGAGATAAGTATGTCGGATCAACGTGTAACCTACCTCCCCTATCCTCCCCTCCCCTCTCCCATGTTGCGATAGAAAATCGGAAAAATACAAAAGAAGTCTCTCTTTTTAAGAGTTGCTAAAAGATGTCTCGCGGACATCCTCAGAAAATCGAGACGGAAATAAAGAGAAAGAGAGAAAGAGAAAGAGAAAGAAAGAGAGAGAGAGAGAGAGAAAGAGAGAGAGCGCCAAGGACGTGAGCTGCACCGTTGATGCGACTAAAGATTAAACCCTTCTTTCTCAGACCGCTTCCCCATTGTCCTTATAACGTCATTCTTTATTTAGAAATCCTTCGAATTCTCATTACCATATCTGACTCCTATCATTTATTTTCATCTGCCTATCCGATGCTTAAAGGAAATTAGATAAAAAAAAAAGAAAAATAAAAAAAAAAGAAGAAAAAAAATAAAAGGGGGGAAAAAAAAAATATTATGAAAAATTAATTGCTTCCTACGTTACAACACTGGTAGTGGGCGGCGCGCTTGTGTACTCTAACGTCGTAATAGATAAAGTAAAATGAGTTAACAATAAATCATAGATTTTATTTAAATAATTCGAAGGTAAAGTTTTAAAAGAGACAATTCTCTCTTTTTCGTATTTTTCTTTCTCTTCTGGTTTTTTCTTTTCTTTTTTTTTTTTTTTTTTCTTTTTTCTTCTTTTTTTCTTTTCCTTTTTTTCTTTTCTTTTCTTTTCTTTTCTTTTATTGTTGTTTTTCTTGCCACGTTAAATCAAAATCACATATTATAAATCGAAATATTTTATACGAATAGTAATATAATAATCGGTACGATTATTATAACGTGAAATATTCGGATATTAATTCTTTATAAATTTCTTATAATTCTTCAATAAGATTTGTAACGATTATAAGATTAGATAAGGATAAAAAAAAAACAAAAAATAGAAAAAAAAAGGTAAAGAGAGAGAAAGAGAGAGAGAGAGAGAGAGAAAAAAAAAGAAGAAGTAACCACGAGGAATTAGAGAGAAATTAATTTTAAAGGTATATAAAATCGTAAAATAAATGAAATTTTGCAAGTCGAGTTATATTATCGAGTTTATTGCATTATATATGCTATACAATGTTATATACGATTTTGTTATTGCAATTACCGACATATTTATTTTCACGGATATATTTATTCTCGACGATAGGAGCGAGATGCAATTATATCATTTTGTAAATATTGTTTGGTCGTTAAACAACGCATACTTTCGTCTTCTTTTTCTTCTCGTCGTCGTCGTCGTCGTAGTCGTCGTAGTCGTAGTCGTCATAGTCGTCTTATTCGATTACAACAGTATGTGAAATTTTTTCGTATGAAAATGATTAGACACTAAGACGATCACAACGATGGATCATCGTACACCGGAAAAGCGCGCGTACGGTCAATGAATCGTCATCGTTACTGGTCAATTCTAATATTATTAAATTGACTAATGAACGTCGTAAGCAAAGAGAAACGTAGTAACCCGTCTTTATAAATCAACAAGGGTGAAACGCATCATCTAACTTTTTATCGAGATAATATTTTTCCGAATGATTCACGAAATTCTACCGTGTTTTTGTTAATCTTCCCTCATTCCCACATTTCTTTTCTCTTTCTTTTTTCTTTTTTTTTTTTTTTTTTTTTTTTATTTTACCTTTTTCTCTTCTTTCTCTCTTTTTTTCTCTTTTTTTTTTTCGCATACTCATCCACGTTTCGAATTAATCGATCTTCACGTACCAATCGATTTCTCTTTCGTGATATGACAGAGAGACATCGTAGGCACTACTCTTATTCAGAATACTCTTCGAAGGGGGATACCTTTTTGTGCTCTTCAATTAAAACTCAATCATTTCTTTTCTTTTCCTTTCTTTTTTTTTTTTTTCTTTTCTTTTCTTTTCTTTTATGTACGAATGATGAATGGACCCGTTTAACGTGATGTATGAGTGATTAGAGTTGCATAATTATAAAAATTGTTACGAATGGTTCGACAGGGGAAAAAAAAAAAAAAAAGGAAAAGAAAAAGAACAAAGTAAAAAAGATAAATAAGTAAATAAATAAATAAATAAAAAGAAAAAAAAAAAAAAAAAAAAAGAAAAAAGAAGGAAGAAAAAGAAGAAAGAAAATTCAATCACGGTCGTTTGAAGACCCATCGTCACGCTCCTAACGCAATTGTTTCGCGCTCAGGAATGATATAAAAAGCGGGAACTGAACGAGAAAGGCGCAAAAGGCCGCGGACTGTGCCAGCTAGGAGAGAAAGAAAAGCTCGTACGAAAGATAGAGATAGAGATAGAGAGAGAGAGAGAGAGAGAGAGTCAGAAAAAGAAAGAGAGAAGGGAAAGGGAATAAAAATTTTCCGTCGCTTTTAATGCGCGAGAACTTTATTACGAGACTTATTAACGAAACTACGTAGGAAATATCCCATTCCCTTCGCGCGCGTGCCTCAGCGTGTGTTTTTCGATAAGGAAACAGAAACATAGAATGCATTATATGTATGTATATGTGTTTATGTGTATTATAAATATATACGTATATGCGTACGTACGTATAGGTATACCTATATACATTAGCGAGTTAACGTGTAAAAGAACAAAAAGTTAATCTCCTCTCTCTTCTCTCTCTCTCTCTCTCTCTCTCTCTCTCTTTCTTTCTCTCTCTCTCTCTCTCTCTCTCTCTCTCTCTCTCTCTCTCTCTCTCTCTCTCTCTCTCTGTTTCTTTTACACTTTTCAAGTCTCACATGCAATGAACATGGTTGATCGTGTCGGCTATCGTTTCTGGCAAATACAACTAATAATTAAGTAACCAATATAGAAGAGATATTATAAGATATCGAAAAGAAAGAAAGAGATAGAAATAGATAGATAGATAGATAAGGATAGATAGAGAGAAAGAGAGACAGAGGGAGACAGTCGCGTGGCTTATAGCATTTAATCGCGATAAGTCTGGATCATTAATGAGAGAGATAAAGAAAAAGGGGTTGTATAGGGGGTAGAATATCTTATATAATATTGTATATTAATAATATTATATATTATACGTCGAAATTATTATTATGCTAGAGTTTTAGTTTATACACATAGAAACGGTTAAATGCACCTATATAGACATAGGCAGAGAGAGAGAGAGAGAGAGAGAGAGAGAGAGAGAGAGAGAGAGAGAGAGAGAAAAAAAAAGAAGGAAAAGAGTGAGAGAGAGAGAGAGAGAGAGAGAGAGAGACAGAGAGAAGAAGGA